AGTTTGTAATAAAATCATCTTCTTGACTTTTTTTCTTTTCTTCTTTTCCTCTCCCACACTCCCTCCCTATAGGCTCTGCTCTGCGGCGTCGCTGGCTAGTGGTCCAACTCCTGATGCAGGTGTGGCTGGCGGCAAATCCATCTCTAAGTGAGCGCCCATGCCCCAAGAGCTGTCGCTGTGATGGAAAAATTGTCTATTGTGAGTCAAGCGCCTTTCGCGATGTCCCCAAGAACCTTTCAGGAGGCTGTGAAGGCCTGTCTTTACGGTACAACAGCCTCGCCAGTCTTCGTGCTGGACAGTTTGTAGGCCTCAACCACCTCATCTGGCTCTACCTGGACCACAATTATATTGCCTCTGTAGATGGAATGGCCTTTCAGGGGGTCCGCAGGCTCAAAGAGCTGATCCTGAGTTCAAACAAGATTACATCGCTCCACAACACCACATTCCACCCTGTCCCTAATTTGCGTAATCTGGACCTGTCCTACAACAAACTGCAAGCCTTGCAGCCTGGGCAGTTCCAGGGCCTACGGAAGCTTCTCAGCCTTCACATACGCTCAAACTCTCTAAAAATCATCCCAGTGCGTCTGTTCCAAGATTGCAGAAATCTGGAATTCCTGGATCTGGGTTACAACCGCCTGCGCAGTATCACTCGGAATGCATTTTCAGGCTTGGTCAAGCTCACTGAGCTGCATCTAGAGCATAACCAGTTCTCAAAGATCAATTTCTCTCACTTTCCTCGCCTCTACAATCTGCGGGCACTTTACCTGCAGTGGAATCGCATTCGCTCAATGAACCAGGGCCTGACCTGGACCTGGGCCTCCATCCAGAAACTAGATCTGTCTGGGAATGATCTGACAGACGTGGACGCTGTAGTTTACCAATGCCTACCAAATCTGCAGACCCTCAATCTGGACTCCAACAAGCTGACCAATGTGTCCCAGGAGGTTGTTGATGCCTGGATCTCCTTGGCTACGATTAGCTTAGCTGGGAACGTATGGGACTGTGGCCCTGCCATCTGTCCTCTGGTGGCCTGGCTGAGAAACTTCAGAGGGGCAAAGGAGACCACCATGATCTGCGCCTCGCCCAAGAAAGCCCAGGGTGAGAAAGTAATGGATGCTGTTGAAGCTTTTGGTGTTTGTCAATCAAACCCAGTGACAACTCTTACTGTGAGTATTCCTCCAACCCCGTCCAGTGTCCCTGTGCAGACTGAACATCGCCCAGCCATTCTGGCTTCACCTACTGGATCTGGGAAGAGAGGAGAGGGATCTATCAGAGGCCCTACGTCATCAGCTGTTACCCCACCTGTGGCACTTCCCCCAGAGCAAGACTTGGAGCCTGTGTCCTTCCATAAGATTGTGGCTGGAAGTGTTGCCCTTTTTCTATCTGTTGCAATGATCCTGTTGGTAATCTACGTGTCTTGGAAGCGCTATCCTAGCAGTGTCAAGCAGCTGCAGGAGCACTCGGCAGCAGCCCGCAAACGCCGCAAGAAAGCTAGAGAGACGGAGCGCACCCTGAGCTCTCCACTGCAGGAGTACTATGTGGACTACAAGCCCACCAATTCTGAGGCCATGGATGTGCTTGTCAATGGGACCGGACCCTGCACCTATACAATCTCAGGCTCCCGAGAATGCGAGGTATGACCCACACCACCGCCACCCCTCCTAAACAAAACTCTGTCCACAGCGAGACGACCAGAGGTAATTATTTACTCTGCTTTGATAGATGATAACTCTGCTACTTGATTACTTAGCCTTACACAGCAGGTTAGGTAAATACTGTGTACCCATGGATTATTATTGAACGAAGCAGAGGTGGTTTTAGCACCACTTTATATATAACAAGATATCTCGTGTTTTCAGATGGGTGTTTGTATAGTCGCTTAAACCCTAATCTCTCTTGAGATGCAAATGTTTGTTTTGCCGCAGAATTTTACAAAAATACAGATAAATGAGACTGATTACATTTCCTATTCTACATAATCTTGAGCTTATATGCTTTTTGTGATAAGACATTTGTGATTGTTTAGGTACTCGTTTGCTTTTTTTGCCTGCATATCAAAGGCTTTGTGCTTGTGCATTTGATCTGTTGCTATTCAGTTTTTGATGAGCAGTATTGTGTGGAGAGAATAGCTGAATGGTAGGAAGATCCACTTCTGGACACTGGATGTGAATGCTAATAGAGACTCTTGTCACTGAATAGAGCTTCCCTAGAGCTGATGACTTCACACTTTTCTTGACATAGGTATGACTCGTTGTTGGAAAATACTTAATGCTCATAGTCCCCCAACAGCACTTCCTTTCTGATTTTTGCCTCCCTTTGCACACTGACTTGCTGAAGTTACTCACTTATTTACTCACTGACTTAATTGATCTGTCACACATGAACCAAAATGCATACTTTCACTGGTCATCCACATTTAACTCACACAGAAAAAATACGTGTTTTGTGACAAACACATACACACACAGAACAAAAGTAGTGTTTGATAGTCCCGAAAGGAGTGGGAATCCTTTGAAATGTTTCATACACAGGCAAGTGAATTTCTTCAAAACAGTATTTACAGACTACAGCAATGTGGGAATACCACTTTTCTTTTCTTGCTTTCAGCTGCTACACTCATGTGTATCTGACATACTGTACCATTCTTGGTTAAACCTTTTATTCTACTGCCTAGTTTCTGCAAGTTTTCCAATCTACAGCTAAGCAAAGCTTCTGTATAAATGTATTCCTCATCACTGATTAACTGGACCTGTTATAACAGGCCCACCTTGATGATCAGGTAACCTGCCCTCCAAAGCTGTAACCCAAAGGCATAAGACATATTTGGTTAAGCGCTATGTTCACATTATCAGCCCATTCATACTCAGTCTAGTTCCTAGACTTTCTGGGTAATTCTATGCTATGAATTTCTGGCACACTCTCTCTGGAGGAATGACTGTAAATGCAGAGGTTTAAACAGTGAGGAGGAGGAGGAGGAGGAGGAAGGCTCGAGCTTCCACATTCTTTTCCATTTCTGTTCCTGACCGTCTGGCTTTTCTGGAGGCAGGTCACATGATAATATGTATTTACAGGTTGCTCACAGGATGCTTGATTGTAAAGAGGGACCACAAATCACAGCTGCCATTTTGTTGTTGTTTGCCATACCCTTCCCCATACAGACTTTTAGTGCCTCCTTTCAGTCCACAGTGCTTATATTTCCAACTCCATTGGAAGTCATGTTACATGGATAATGGGGAAAACATAGCGGATGCTGTTAAATATATTGTACCTCATTTTATACAATGCCAAGCAAACTCCGATTTGAATGATGCGATTTTCACATTACCTTATTTTGACATATCTTTTGTGGCTTCAACGCAACGTATCACACTGTCTTAAAGCCAACAACATATGTGCAATGTCATCTTATTTTCAGATCAAAATATGGAATGATCTCCAGCAATATGCACATAATGCACAAAGGTTAAGTATGATCACAGGGACACATGCAAAAAATATAGTATAATCCAGTACAATATTACAAATATACCTCCAATGCTTACTTTTTTAATACAGTTTAATACAGGGATGTTTTGGACTTGTACAGGTGTTCTAGTTCTTGTGGCTGCCCACTATAATTTAAATGATTAGTTAATCTAATTAGCTAGTTAATTTTGAAAGTACACAGCAGGAGACAGCTGCCCACAGGAATCATATCAATACGAAAAAATGATGAAAGCAGTAAAGATGAACTTTAAAATGAGGTTGTGATGACAAGAAAAATAAAGAAAAAAGAAAATAGTTAAGTAGCTATGGATTTAGTTTCGATATTATTTTGTAGATGGAGTGGTTGTAATTATAAACAATCTCATAATAAATTAATCTCTCTTTCTATTCTGATTTTGTCTAGGCCTTATTGTCTTCTGAAAATAGCAAAGTACTTTGACAGTCATACCTCCAATGTGGACCCTTGGATTATACATTTCAATTTTTTTGTAAAAGAAAAAAACAGTTTCAGTTGTCATTTTATACAGAAAAAGTTGTCTCAGGGGTATTATCCGATACTTAAAAAATTGCTATATGTTAAAAATGTTTGTTAGAGAATTGTTAATTTCAACAGTAATATAATATTAGGCAAAACAATAGATAGCTATTGCACTTACTGAGGATCAGGAGGCATTAAAGCTCCTGATCCTTTCACACCAGGTGAAGGCAAACAAAAAAACACATTGGTTGGCTTCCAGATTGTCATATTACAAGGGATAAAAAGGCTAATTGTCATTCCCAACACTCATTTTCATACCTGATGCCTCATGCCAGCTGGATCAGACTATTATCAGACTCATATTGCACGGTCCAGGGAGGCCCTATAGGAGACATTATCTACCAAAGTTGCCATCCACTCTAAGGGACCCCACACAAAATACCTTACAGCCTCTCCATCCGTGTAAGCTAGAAGCAGGCCTGCTATTTACTAGAGAAATCATTGCATCTATCGTTAGCCTTTTATCTTGACTTGATTGAACTTGGCAATTTAGCTGACTCTTTCATCGTGTGAGCCAAATAAAGCAGGAATTAACCCATACTAAGAGGGCCAAGGGCCAAATCAACATTACAGAGCCAGCAGAGTGTAACAACTCAGACAAAAAAAGCCACTGGAAATATTTGTAATTTATCAACAACCGCTCATATGAAGGAATTATCAACAACAAAATAAAATCCAGAAGAAAAGCACAGTTCTTTTATAATTTAGCACAAAACAGGAATAGATTAAGTGAAGAAAGTGGTAAAGGAGAGTGACGTGAGCCACTAAACAAAAGATAAGAGAGAAAAAAAAGATATTGCCAACACTGTGGACTGGGAACACTGGGAATTCCAATAAAAAGTTTCAAATCAGTCTTAATGAATAGCAATTTCACCAATTCTGATACTTTCCATCTCCTTATAAAAGCTATACCTAAGGGAGGGAAGTTTGAACACACAGGTAGTGTAAATCAGGTCATTAGCTAAACACATGTTTTAATTCTAAAGCAATATTATGTAAAACCCTATTTGTTGCGATTTGGCGCCCCCAGTTATAGAGTACCCCTGTCGTAAATATGGACTGGTTTACATGTGCATTTGTTCTGATTACATTACTTGTGATCAAAAACTAGCCAGTCAACAACTTTTGCTACCACAGCCAAGCATCAAGCAAGTGCAACAACACAAGACATAGCAAGGAGGCCTGCTGGTCGGCTGTCTTGCAGTTTATTTTACAAAGCTCTCACTAACGGCCCGTCCAACATGTTTTCTTGAAGTACTCTGGATGTCCACATTCTTATCTTTGTTCTGTTGAGCATACTGTAACTGCCTACTGTGTAGTCCAGTTGCATTGTTGGAAATGCTTAAGAAGTCTTTAATGTTTTAAACTAGCTTTTCTCTACCGTTTATTTAAGATCAACATGTCATCAAGTGGAAATTCCTATGCAACGTTTCAGTAGGTGGTTAGCTTCCATAGGATGTTTTTTTATTTTTTTATTTAAGGGTCACTCTGTCCCCTCTTTCCCCTGCTTTTTTCAATCTGCTGATTACCTTAGGGCACCTATAGGGGATTGTTATTTTCAACAGTATTACATTTGGCCTTTCTTACAGCACAACCTGAATAGCTACATCATACCCATATTATGAAGCCATATTGCATGCATGTAACTGAGTGAAAACTGAGTGGAGGCCCGGCACTCTGCTAATTCCTGTCTCATTCGCAGTCCTGTTTCCACAAGCTTCCTTTTTATCCCTACACTCTCCTCCATTTTGTTTCTTGAGATATCCTTGAAAATGCATTCTCTGTAGCCTTATCTGTCCCTCCGTCTCATCTTAAAACATTGTAGAGAGGAGACAGGAACTATCAGTCAGCAGTCTACAAAGTCCTGAGTTCATCGCAGAATGTGCTCCGATCTTGTTTCTACATTTTGTTGCTCTCGCGTGGACATAAATCACTCGGCAGCAGCACCTGCTGCACTCTCCCCACCTCGCAGCCTCACTGCCTCTCCTCAAGCTCGAGGCCGTAGCAGCTCAGGTCTGCTCATCTCTCCTGTGTGGGAATTGCTTATTCCTCCTGTGTCACTCTTACGATTTCTTTCATTCAGATTCTGCACCATGACTATAACTCACCCTGAACCTCTTCACATGATTGTCTTTTATCAGCCCCCAGATCCACCTGACATGAATGTGAGTTTGGCAGCCTTTTTAGTGAATTGCCTGAAGATGGTGCAATCCTCATTTTCCAACATCACTTCAACCTTCCCACAAAAAGCATTATTTCTATCATTTAATTTCTATCTTCCTTTGATCTTGTCTGACAGTGGACTTGACCTGATCTTGAGTCTGTGCCACGTATGGCCTGTGTCACCTTGGCATCCTTTGCTTTTTTTTAATCTGGCCATACCACATGGTAATATTTGTGGCTTTCTTCCACAATTTCTCCCTTCTCTCATCTCCTTTCACTTTATACAATTTCCAAGTGTCTAGCCACGCTGTCATCACCCCCTGACCTCTACCACCTACCATCCTTATCTGCTCATTTGTTGTATCCTGCCCCTTGGCGGTCAGAAACATAGTGAAATAAGCAGACACTGATTTTTGCAGCTGACAGAAAGTGGCTCAAATCTTGTTCTTTGAT